TTTTTCTTCACCCATCAGTATAATAAGGTAATAAAACATCATTCTCCAGAGAAATGGCTGCAAAGGGTTCTGCTTCTTGAGCAAGGACAATTAATGTCTGTTCCTTTAGAAAAAGAAACTAGAATTTATTGAGTATTTGTTGAGAGTCATGGGAAAACAAAGTTTCTGCTTGAACTGTTGTGTTGTGTTGGTGTAGCACAGTGTAAGGGAGTTCATGCCTGCGAGCTGGCTGCAATGGGGTGGCTGTTAAAATGGGCATGATTTAGTGGTTTGGTGGGGTCGGATTTTGCTGTTTATCAGCTGCAACTTCAGTAGCCAGCCTTACCTCTCTTCAGTCTGCTGTTGCAAAGGAAGGCGTTTCAAGCCTGCTGTCCCAGTGGTAGTTTGCGTTAGTGTTGTGTCAGTGGGTGCAGTGATGACGCAAGGCCTTTCTCCTTACCATAAATCGCTTTTGCAGGCTGCTGGCTTGATTTGCTGTTGTCCTCCTTCACAGCCCCCTTCATGTTCACCCTGCTTTCTCCCTCTGGACTGAAATCCTTATGCTCCTGCAGAGGTGTCCAGAATCCGTGTTCTGGGGAAGGATTCTGAGGAGCAGCGGCGCTATGGCAGTGCCTGCTGTGTCCTAAAACAGCTGCTAACATCACCCTGCAGCTCTGCTACTGAATAGAGAGAATGTGCTTGCGCGCACCTTGTGTTTTGCACATGCAGAATACAAGATGAAGTTCTGAGGTGGCTGGTGTGGTTTTTTCCAGGTCTTGCTGTCACACTGGTGGTGAAATAATAGAGCCATTTGATAAGAGATGAATAACTATAAAAATTCCTCTTTTTCATCAGTGAAATCCAATGGCATAAATGTTGAGAGAATCCAAAAGGCAGCTGAAGAGGAAAGTAAAAGTGACAGGCTTTAGGGGGATTGACATAGTACTTATTTTGTATTTTTTGTTGTAATAAAGTAAACTCGAATTCTCTTGATACCCCATTTTACTAGGCACTATCTTGGTGCTAGACAAAATACCACTAGACAAAAGGAAAAGAGCAACTGTAATACCTTTTTCGTGCTCCTCCCCATCTCCCTGGGCGTAAACCCACTGGATTTTGGCACTGCTGAAAAAAGATTTTAATGATGAGGAAACCATGTGAATATGCTAGGGTGGTAGGAAAGACCAGTGTAATTTTGTGTGGCATGTGTGGGAGGAATTGTTTCAGGGGACAAGAGAATAAGAGTGCTGGTATGACAGTACCTGAAATATAATATTAGGCTTCAGTGTTGCTATTACCATAAAGATACTGATCATTGAAGGGGACTCAAAAGGAGTGTAAATAGGTAGAAGCTGTAGAGATTAATTTGTAAGGAAAAATTTAAGAATTAAATATGCGTAACTTGCCTAAGCAGTGACGCCAGGGGTTCATAAATCTTAACAAGCATGAGAGGTGCGAGCACAGAAAAAAAGAGAAGAACTGTGTCTAGTTAGGGATAAGGCTGAAATGGAAACTTTGAGTGTCCTACATGTGACTTCCTGAGAGTGAAATGGTCTGAACGATTAAATGCCCTCCTTTGGGAGAGAGCAGGAATTCATTACTTGACGTACACAGAGCTATGCTACACTAGACAGAAATCTAGTAAAAATGTAGTAAGAAAAATCCTGTCCTTTTAGGGTGGTTAAATGTATGTATTGAGTCTGGCTTCATCCCGTGACATCAGTCACATCAGCTGTCAGCATTATTTGCATCTAGTGTGGAAGACATGCAATGCAGGAAGAGTTAACCGTGCTATCTTGGGTCCTACAGACAAATGCGGATTTATAAACCTGACAGACTCCTCGCTCTCTTCTCATCCTTGAACACCAGATTGAGGGGAGGAGAGTGTCATAGTCCTTCTGGATGTCTCAAATATACAGGACAATGTACTCTGTAAATTAAACTTTATTTAATGAGCTCATTAGGAAAGAAAACAAATGCATCAAACAAGCTCAATTCCCTTTGTACAGACTAGTCTAACACGTGATTTAGTTAATTCATCGCTTAGTTCATGAGGGTTCTGACTCCCAAGTTCTCTGGTTTGTAACTTCTGCACCTGTGAGCAAAGCAGTTACCTCGCTGAGGGTGAGAGCGCTCATCCTTCCTCCTCCCGCACCGTGCGGGCATCCCCGTGTCACACTGGGAAGCACGGAAGCCTCAGCAGTCCGGCTGCTGCTGGATCTGCTTCAAAAGCTTTTTGGGTAAGCGGAGGAAGTTCGGTCTGTACCATTTCCATAGGTCAGTGGATTCTGAAAAAAATGCCAGATAATCAAAATGCAAGGATGATGGCTGAAGAGACAGCAAGTTGCAGGTGCTAACAGCTGTGTAATGACCTCTAGCCCTTCCTGCCAATGCATGGCGCTCGCTTCGACCTAATGGTGCTGCTCCCAGCATACATCGGGCCTTGGGGTGGGCTGCGTGTTAGCCAAAATCTGAGCAGGAGCTGAGTGAACAGGCACTGAGAGACTTTCTCAGACCTGCCTCTCCATCTGATGGTCAGGCTGAAGCTGAGTGGTAACAACTCCTCCTCCTTTGCCAGGGACTTGCTCTTAGACCTTTGCTGCTCTTCCTTGGGATTCTCCTTTGAGAATGTATCAGCTGCATTTTCTGCTCCTTATGGTCGTTGAAGTCTGCCTGACACAATGACAGAAGTCTACCTGAAGCGGGCCAGGGTCTGAAGTAGAGTTGGCTGCTGTAAAGCTGCTGCGTGCTGCACTCGTTGCTTCCACTTGTTGCAGCTATTTTCTGCCTTTAGCAAAATAGCTGAAGGCTATGAAATTGAACACCCTACAACCAAGTTGTGGAGCGTCTTTAATACATGTGATATTTGCAGTGCTAGTTGTGAGACAGAGCAGAATCCTAGTGTGACAAGGACGTCAAGCTGCTGTACTTTGCGAAACCCACGATAAATGCACTTGTATTTTGTTCTTTCAAAGAGGAGACATGCAAAATGTGCTGTGGAAGGGAATGAAAGCGTTCTTGCTCTGTTCTCGTTCCTCCCTCGGCATCCCTAAGGGATCTGCTTACCCACGGTTGGATGGGGGGATGTTGAGCTAGCTAGACTCTTCTCTGGACCGTGATGGCCATTCATAGAGATTAGTTCTTGGCTTCAGTGTGGTTCTTTCTTCTTGACATCTTATCTGCTATGCTCCCAAAATACAGGCAGATGGGACAGCACCCCAAAAAACCAAGGTCCTTGATCAAACACTAGTTAAATCAACAAAAATAGGCACTTATGAAAAAAGTAGTACTTAGACATTATAGATTTAAAATGAAAAAGTTGTGAGTGGATAGTTTAAAATATGTTTATCATGGTAGGGTTTTTTTTCCTGCTGCGTCCTTAGAACAGGGAAGCACACAGTACTCTTTCATATGTGATGCAGAGATAATACTTTGATATACAGGTTTTGTTCTTTGCTCCACCATAAGCTTTGTGTGTTACCTTTGGCAAGTCACTTAAACTGTGTTGGTTTTTCAATCTGGATAAAGAAGTAATTGTACTTCCCCGCCGGCAGCAGTTGTCTGGGGATCAGAGAAAGAGATGCTCAGTTACAGTGTGAAGAAGAGATTTATAATCACATTAGCTGTAAGTGCTCTAAAAGATAAGAACACGTTTCCTGCTTCCAACCTTTCCTTCTTTTCCAAAGCAATTTTTTCAAAAACATCTTTTGGCAGGCTCACTGCTTTGTTGTTGAGCAGCAAGTACAGACAGCTGTTACCCTCTGGGTGGAGGTGCTCTTTACGATCTGTGCAGTGGAAAATGAAACACTGGAAAGGATAAAGATGCCAAGTGTTCATTCTGTTTCATATTTAGGATGCCAACTGCGATTACCACGTAGGGCCAGGCTGTTGAAGGGGAGGCATCCTTTGGAGAACGCGAAGTGAGGAGCTGCAAAGGGCTGTCTCGGGGCACCCCCTTCCCCTTTCTTGGTGGGTGTCAGTCAGCTCCTGGCTGCCACAGGCTGAAAGTGTAGGACCTGTCAGAGCAGCTTCTTCTCAGGCATCAGCTGTAGTGAGACGGAAGCCCGACTTTCTTTCAGCGCTAAAGGCTAAACAGTAATGTGGAGTAAAGCTAACGGTTTGCTGTAAAGAAGCAGCACCCCATGGAAACCTAGGAATCCTGCAGCTCTATAAAATGTTTTGCTGTTGTTGCCAGTTTGATTTCCAGAAAGCTCTTGTTCTTTCCTAGATTTGAGCTGTTTTGTTATTGTTTAAATGCAGCTGTACCTTGAAGGGTTGAACTCCTGAAGCACATTGTTAATTTAGTCAGACAGTTAACAATTACTTTATAAAATCCCAATGAATTACACAGTGCAAAGTAAATACGGGTTTTCAGCACTTTGACTCATATACAGGTGTGTTATTGGCTACTGGAGCCTGGCTAAATCTTCACGCTCCGAGCCGATGGGCGTTATTGGTAGTTGTTCCAGTTCAGTCATCAGTGAATATTCACAGATTTACAGTCAGCTTAGAAGTGAAGCTGTCAAAACAACCCGCCTGATAATGATAAAGAAATAGCTATCAAAGAAGTGGCAGGCAGCTTCCGGGCTGAAGTGTTTCACTTCAGGAATCTCGGCACCATTTGCATTTTGTATCATTTGTGAGAAATGCATAAATAAAAATTCTTTCTCATTTGTGTTTTTTTAAGGATTTTGAAATGTCCAAACTTGTCATCTGGCTATTGTTTTTTAGTGGGTTTTGACTATTTTTCCCTGCAAAGGAAGAGAGAGAGAGGAAATAGACGAATGACTTACTACACGCTGTTAAAAAAAATACACAGTGATGGATGAATTTATACGGCTTAGCTGTCTGACCACACTGTCTGCAGGCAAGTGGTTGAATCTTACTGTTTTAAAGTTTTCAAAAGCGACTGTCATATTAATGTTATTAGTTGTTGGTTAAGTACCCAGGAGTAGAAACACAGCAGCTGAGGTCAGCTGTTTCACATCTGATGTCTTAAACACATGTCTGTTTTTCAGAATTGGCTCTGTGTGGAAGGTCTTCCTTTCACGCTCTAAGGATAATAGGAATGGGGGGTGGAAACAGTGTCATCTGGGATCCAAGTGAGGGTATATTCCGAAAGCAAACACAGACTGAAAAAGAGGGCAATACGCCAAAGAGAAATACGCCAAAGCTGCAAACAGAACATCACCCTTCTGCGCAGGAGGGACGCGGATATTGTGTCTTTATCTGACGCTATGCGATGTCCACCTCAAAAATAGCTGCTGACTGCTCTTGTTCCGTTGTGGTAGTTTTAATTTCCTTTGCCTGCTCTTTCCATGCTGTTCTTTTTTTCTGTAGCTTCAAATGAAAACCATAAAGATGAGAGAAGCAAGGGGCAGAGACGCTAGGGAGAAAGCCTAGCTCCTGAGGACGCAGATGCATCAGGTGAGAAAGCAACACGTAGCTGGCATTCCCTGCGCCATGCAGATTGTGGGCACCTGCGCTGCTCTGGGATATTTCCCAAGTTTCTGGATTTGTGCATGTCCCAGCCCTCTAAATCCATGTCTGCAAACCTTCATTTGGGCTGGTCTGATACTTGGCCTGAGTGTTTGGGGAAGTGGTAGCTGTTTAGCTGGTGACCTTGGGTAGGCAGGTTTATTGTCATGGGGGACATCCTTTACAGGGTACCTGCCATTCCAGTGGCAGAGGAAGATTTCAGGCGGAGAAAGGTGAAGCAGGGCTCAGAGTACAAGCTCTGCACCTTGCCATTCCCTGGCTACGTTGCACAGTTTGCATGAGCTGTGTGGGCATCTCCGTCCCGCATTAGGTGCGCTCCTGTTCCACAGCTTTGCTGTTACGCTGCTAGTGACCACTCAGTTGCTCTATGCATCAGTGCTTCTGATAAAAGTCAACACTTTCAATATAATATATTTAGAATACAGCATGTTACCACTGCAGCAAAATTCAGCTGTTCCTGTGACTTTCCTTTTAGGACACAGATTGTTTTTTCTGTTCAGAGGACAAGTGACTTCTCGTTTTTTTTTTTAGTTTGATTGGTTTGGGTTTTTTTCTGATCTGGTTCAAGACATCCAGGTTCCCATAGGTGAATTCGTCAAGATAAATTTAGGCTAAGGCACTTCTTCTCTGGTTATTTTTTTCCTGCCTGTTCTTTTGTGCTCAGATTAGAGGGTGAATCCATCTGAAATCTCCCCTGCCTCTCCTCTCCCGACTCTATCCTTCCACTGTTCTCTCTCTCGGCTGGTTTTCAGTTGGCTGAGTTTCTTGTTTTGGTTGATCAGCTGGTTGTAGCAATGAAGCTGGGACAAGCCGTTGTGCTGTGACCTGCACTCCATATCTCCTTAAGAGGATCATGAAATTGTCCTGATGTTCCTGAATGCTCAGCCAAGGAAATAGGTCTGTGAGCACCTCCAGGCTAGCTGAGGGAGTTGCGGGAGTGTTGGAGATTGAGCAGCGCTCCCAACAGATTCCTCGAAGCCTGTCTTTTCCTCCCCTGGGGTCTGTCCTTCCTGCTGTGCAGAGCTCCAGTAGAAAGGTTGTTTATCCTTATTATGGAGGGTCTGCCTACCCTGGATTGCTCTTAACAGTCAATCCTTAAGTCTAGAAACAAAGAAACTAAACCCTTAATTTGCATTTTATTTTTGTTGACATCTCAGGCACTCTTAGAGAAAATGCAGGCTGTACCTAATACCTGCAAAATTGAGGCGGTAATAGCAAACTATAGGTGAGATCTTAGGGGTGATTAAAATGCAAATTGAGAGTCCAAGGCAGGTGTCACCATAGGAATGGTGGCACTGGCACAGGATGCAAGATTATGGTACGTAAGGAGTTGTGGAGAGAAAAGCAGCAAGTCTGCGGTGCTGTAGCTTGGTGTTGTGATGCCGATCACGTCTGCCCTGCTGAGCTCCCCTCTGATAGAATTAAACAGTACAGAAAATCTAAACATCATTGCTGAAAACAGCTTTACAGCTAATGTACTTCGATTTTGTACCTTGAGTCCTGCAACATGCTGTGAAAGCTTGAGCCATTTTATAGCTACAGCAACCCTCTTCCCTCCTCTGCCTGTGAGGTTTTGCAGAATGTTTTGTTAAACCAAGTGTTTTGGATCCACTCGCTGGAATATGAGGAAGTGGGATTTTCCTTATTTAAATTAATGTAGGAGAGATTGTTGGTTATCATGGTTTCTCTGAAATATCTGCTTTTTCTCTGAAATACCAGAATTGCTCTGGAACACCAGGAAATGTGACTGTTGCTTTGTGGAAACTCTCTATTCTGTGTAAATTTGAGGTATGTGCAAAACATGCTGAGTTACAGATCCTGTAACAGCCTTCCTTGATGTTTATATTCAGGTAGCCTGTAGTGGTGTGATTATAGGTTGCATAGGACAAGCTGTCATAGTTAGATGGCTCATAAACCTCGTGAGCCTGTTGTTCTACAAATGTGTGACAAATACTCTCCCAGTCATCCTTGTCCTTGCCCACAGGACTTGCACTGTCAGGCAGGGAGTGGGAAACATCGGCTGGTCCCCGTCTGGTAATGCAAGGGCTGTCTGCCTGCCTGCCTCTGGGAGCGGGTGAGCCATTGCCTTTTCCTCCCTGGGAGCGTTAATTTGCACTTCTCTCTTCCATTCAGCCTCCAATTTTCCCATGCAACATGCAAGAACATAATAACCTTGAGACCTCTACCATCTCTCAAAATTGAGTTGAAATTCACCACAGGTTCAGAAGCTTTTAGCATTAGAACTCTCTTACAGAAGCAATTGCTTCCTTACAAACCTGTGCTATGATCACGGTGCATAGATACAGTGCAGGGAGTGGAAAAAGTGAATAATTTATCTTAAATACTGCTGGAGGGGGTTGGACACTTGGTGGTCTCAGGCGGGGGTGGCTGGGGAAGGAGGAAGAGCGATGTCTCAGCATGTGCACGTGCTTCAAATGCTCATTTCTGGCTAGGTACAGGCAATCCCGTGCCCTTAAAACCATGGGTTCAAGCTTATCTTCTGGTGTCTCTTTATATGGAGGTAAAATTGTGTTGTTGGTTTTAGAAGAAAACTTCGTTAGCCAGAGGGGTTTTTTGTTTGTTTTTAATCTCATAGGCAGCAAGGGGGACAATCTATTTTGCTCAGTACAGCAGCATGCTGGAGAAGCAGAACAGATGGCAAATGGAAATCTTTGTAATTCTACGTTTCGATTATTTTCTTCCTTTTGTCAACTTATTTGTTACTATTTTGACCACTTTGGTCAGGTGGACTTGCGTGAGTGCTGGGATACGCGATGGATCTCTCCCCATACGCAGTTGTTCAGCGTGCTGATAAGAGTGTAAGAGACTTCCCTTAAAGAAAATAAAATTCTCTTTAGACTACTAAAGCCCTTTGTGAGCTCCATGAAAGTGGTCTCAATGCCTGTGTTTGTATTCCTGGTTGGTATGAATAAATACTAGTTTTTGAGAACTGGGTGCCACATGTTACAGAAAGTTTAATGAAAATACAGTGTAATGTACAGTTTATCAATGCCAAAGAAAAAGCTATATGGTTTGGTACATTGTGGAGATAACACAAATGATAGGAAAGGGAGGATCTTCTGCAGATGTGACAGGCACTGGAAGACCACCTTGGAAACCTGTGAAGCTGAGGGGGGAGAGAGCTGCTTACCATCACTACCAACATAGGTGTTCAGCTGGTTAAAAACAAATCCCCAGAATCCTAAACTCTTAGCTTGCTTATGAGTCCTCTCTTGATACTCCTCAGTTTTATTCTCATCTAACAGATTCCCACGCAAAACTACTGGAAATGCAGGAAGCCGTGGAGCTGGTGGCTCTGTCCTGGTTGCCTCGCTCTTGGTGGACCTGAAACAACACGCAGGATTTTCTCCTTGTGGTGGGCTTCAGGATGTGATTCCAGATAGTGAGGATGGAATGCAAGTTTTAAGGCTCTGCAAAAAATGAGCATAGCATTGTTTGGCAACAAACCAGAAATAGATCAAGCTGCATCAACCCAGAATAATACTGCTGTTCTTTACTAGAAGAAAATTTTGACGTGAACTGGAGAGTTCACTGACTGCATCCACCTGGTTTTCTGGCTTTTCTAATTTAGGCCAAGGGCAGGAAGGATATATATGAAGTAGCTAGTTGAAGGTCATGATGTTGCCCCTGATGTCATTTTCCCGTAGCTCAAGGCTTGGGATGCTTGTCTTGGCTCTAGGCGGAATAGGAGTATGAGTCTCTACAGAGTGACCCGTCATTTACCTTTGCCAGGTAACATGAAACTCTGGCTAATATGTATTCTTTGATTTGTTGCTTTAATCTTCTAGAGGTAACACCTAGCTTTTGACATTGCCTCCCTTTCCTTGGAAAAAAGAATGAGTCCCTAATTCCTGTAAAGTGAGTAAATGGTTTTCTCAGAAACTTCTGACTCCATTTCACCTATGTGTGAATGCTCTGCTCTTACTTGCAGGACATTAATTATGAAACAAGAGTGAACAATTTTTTTAAATGATGCTAGAAGTCTTTTTACTGATTGCCTGGAAATTGCCTGTGGCTGACAGCTTGGGATTTCAAAACAGAAAGGAAAGAAATTCAACTACTCGCCAATTGATAAAGGCTGGGCTCTGGCTGGTATGCAATTTTGTAAAAAATTAGATAATCACGTGTAATGTAATGTAATCACATGGGGTCATGAGATGGCAGGCTAGCTTGACCATACGGGGAAAAAAATAGGCAGTTTCTTCTGGTGGCAGGGAATCCTTAAGCACTGATTATGCTTGTGCTGGATGAAACCTTTTGTTGTTGTCTCCATTGCAGTTCCTTGTAAAATTCACTTGAAAACTTGTCTTTCTCCTTTTTGTACGAGGAGTCTCTCTGGCACAGTGAAAGGTACAGTAATCCATTTTAAATCATAAAGTTTGACAAACCAGAGGTAGGAACCAGTAAGACCTAACGGAGCTACCAACGTACCAGTTAGTAATACCTAGTAAAATGTACTTGTCTTTTAATTCACAAATAAGATGTCACTATAGTGAGAGCACAAAATTAACTGTGAATGCAGTGGTGCCATGTGTTTGGGGTGGCTGTGTATGAGCTCTTACCTGCTGCTATTTGAGTATCCTAAGCATCTAGAGCAAAATACAGTTACTGGTAAAATGTACAGATTACCCAAACAATATGGTTTACCAGTTGCTTCGCTGATTAATGGAGAGGTCAGTGGTGGGTAACTGGGTGCCTGCTGAGTTTGATTGCTTTCCATCCCTTATAACATGTAAAGGCTGGTAGAAATTGGATTAAGTGTCATTATTTCTTTCTTAAGATATCTCTATTTCAAGATATGGGGAACTGAGATGCAGTAACATGTCCAAGGTTGTCCGATAAGCTGGAAGGCATTGGAAACTATCTTCTGTATCTTGCTTTCACCCGGTGTCCTTTTAGTGTGTTTA